ATATAACTTGCTGTATACTTTGAACTTGTAAATCAAAGATGTAAAAAATGAGAGGTGGTAGTTTTATGTAAAACAAACTTTATAGAAGGAAAAGGGGAAAAATAGTTGAATACTGGGGCAAAACCAAACAGCAGCAATTAGTTGTCTTTTGCATATATCAGCCCTATAATATGGAGACCTCATCCCATGCAAACTGTGGGTCCCTCCCCCATTGTTCTTGTCCCATCAGCATGGACATCTTAAACAAGTGTTAGAGAAGCAGGAGGAAAAACTTAAAAGGATATATGAAGAAAAATGTATAAGGATAGTTGAATAAAAGCAGGTTTAGAACATGGGAATGAGAATGATAGAGAGATAAATCAGAAAATATTTGCTTACTTTCCTTAGTAATATGTATCTAACCTAATTTTATGCTATTAGGTGTTTGTTTTCATCTGTTCCTTGAAGCACTTTTATTCCTCCTATGGATACTGACCTTGTCTGTGATCATTCTTTGCTATCAATATAGGTGTTAAAAGGTTTCCTGTATTAGAAGAAGATTTTATCAGATCTCCTTTGGCACCTTGGAAACTTGCTCACCTCCCAGGAGTCCTGCAGAGATGATCAGAAAAGCTCTAGAGATATTCTCTTCACTTGCAATTTTGCTTTATTTTTCCTGATAAACATTACATGTGAATATGTACTACAAACTATAATTTTCAATAATTTATAGTCCAAATAGCCTGTTATATCCAAAATTTGGTTCTGCATTAACAATCAGGTGGAATACTAAACTGTGGTGTGGAACAATATTTTAAATTATTGGTCCAAATTATTCTATTTTTCCCTTTGTGGTTTGGTTTCTTTATGTTGAGCAGATATTTTCATTCCTAAATGGAGAGGTTCTAAATCTGAAAAAGCTGAACCAATGCCAATACTCAGAAGAACCTCTATTAGCTCTGAGCTATCCTATTCTCTGTAATTTCTAAATTAAACCCATACATTTAACAACAACAATTTATGGTCTGTTCCACTATCTGTACCTGGAAATAACTTAGATAACTAGATTGCATTGCTCCATCTTTATTTATTTAAAAAAAATAGATTTTTTTATCCTGCTTTTATTATTTTTTATAATTAACTCAAGTAGTGAATGTACCTAATACTCCTTCCTCTTCCTATTTTCCCCACAGCAACAACCCTGTGAGGTGAGTGGGCTGAGAGAGAGGGACTGGCCCAAAGTCACCTAGCCGGCTTCCATGCCCAAGGCAGGACTAAAACTTACCGTCTCCTGCTTTCTAGCCTGGAGTCTTAACCACTAGACCAAACTGGCTCTCCTTCCTATTATGTAGTTGACTTGCTCCTGGTGTTGTACATCAAGCAACATTCATATACATAATTTGCATTTATGTTGTTGAAACATGTGTTTGTCGTAAAGTAAAACAAAACTTAATCTTCCCATATAGGGAAGATTAAGAAAGGCCATGGATCATCTTCTGGTTACAATTTGGATGCAGCCTTTTTTGTATCTTACTGTCTGGTGATGTAAAAGATTACAGATGGCAACATACTGATGATATGTTGCAACACCACAAAGATCTGGGACAGCAGGAAGAAAATGAAAGAGAAAATTTCTCAGACATATCCAGAGTTAGAATTGTTTTCAGTATTTATCGAGGAATTTACAAAGGATTTGGGATCTGTGGCAGGCAAAAAGCTGAAATCATGGGAAGATGGGGAACTTAGAAACACACACACACACACACACACACAAACACGTCTGTCTGTCTGTCTGTCTGTCTGTCTGTCTATCTATCTATCTATCTATCTATCTATCTATCTATCTATCTATCTATCTATCTATCTATCAATTTAAGTGTGTGTGTGTAGCAATGACTATAATAATCAGTGAGAGTTACCAAGTAAATTATTAGAAAAATAGCCATGTATATACTAATGCAATAATATATTTCATTTCATTTTATTTCATTTCATTTCATTTTTCAATATTGTTTAGTAACTGCAATGAAAGATATTTCAAGTGATTTATTTGTCTAGATCAGTGTGTGTGTGTGTGTGTGTGTGTACAATTATAATCACAGGGAAAACCTTTAAAAGTTATTGTTGTTCAGTCGTTAAGTCGTGTCCGACTCTGTGACCCCATGAACCATATTGCGCCAGGCCTTCCTGT